GATTTCCGGTCCGCTGATACAGTGAAACCGTTAAACTAGACAGACAGACTGCTGTTGCTGCTGCTGCTGGCTGGATAGCTAGTTTCAACGTAGGACTTTAAACAGATGTGCAGCAGTTTAAGTCGCTACACTGGGTCACAAAGAGTGGGTGCATCTGACCCAGCCATTGACAACAAAGAATTTGAGCCATATCACCAACAGTTGTCTACAGCCTTCATTGATTTTTAACGTCCCGAAGACCCCAACTAGGAAGCCAGTCTACACCATCTCACGTGACTGGCTGGCTGGCTTAAACTAACTGTTATGGATTTCATTGACCGATGAAGCCATGTTTTGGTTAGACCACCACTGGATGACTCTTTTCCAACGTGATCAATCCTATGTCAGATAACATTTCCCGTCGAGGAAGGTCAGATCTCACAGCCATAAAGGAGGACGGATCGGAGTGCTGAGTGGTACACACGTCCTTTGGTTGTTAGCCAGTCGGATATCAAGTCTACGCCAGAGACGGAGTAAACTGGCATACGCGAACCAAGCCTTCTGTATCTGTGCTGAGATTTCGTCGGCGATCGACTCTTTGGCGTTGGATTATGTAACTTTCCAAATAACTGAAGTGGTCAACACGCTCCACCAACCACTTCACTCCCTATTTCTAAGCTTGAAGTCAATGTATTTTATTTTATTTTTATTTTTGATTTACAGCTTCATTCCACACTGTATTTTCGGTACAAGTATGGAATTTTCAGCATGAATATCGGTAGCCCAAATTTTGCAGGCCGACCATAGATATCAGTCCTGTAACATCATCTTACATTTGACGGGAGAAAATCGCACACCAAGATTGCCGCTCAGCTCAAGGTGGTCAGAAAACTCCGCATTTCGTCAGCGTCCTCACCTAGAAGGACTATATCATATCTGAATATTCTAATTCAACGACATTATTCCCTGATGGCAACAAGTCAATCCCTAAGTCGCTGAATTCGGCCAGTTATGGACAAGTCCATTCTGTCTGCCTGGATTCAACATGGAACTTGCCACCGAAGTGCACCAGTTCGACTTGCCACCTTCCAAATACCACACAAAAGTAAACAAGAAGATGAGTGAAGAGAATCAATACAGTCTGACAAGTATAAGAGTGAAACAGAATGGGTAATGGTAGAAAGAAATATGAAAGATTACAGAGACTGAATACATCTGCGCTGGCCATTGACAACGATTTTGAGCCATGTGTCACCTATTGTCTCCAGCCATTGATTCCTAGAGTCCTTCCCGAGAGCCCCAACCCGGAAGTCTGCATGGACAACTCCAATAGTATATTTATGACGAAATTGAATAGAAATTCGGATAGTGGGCATCCCTGACGTACACCACTGGTTGTCACCACTTCAGATGACAACACTCATGTCCCTTCAATGTTACAGATACGCCCGGCTGATGAACGCCAACTAGCACGAAACCTAGGTCCACCAAGGCTTCCTGCCGATTGCCTCCAACCATCTAATAGAATACGGATAGCCGACTGTAAACAGTTTTTTCCGTAGAATCCCAAATTCAATATAAAAATAAACAGTTTTCATCATAAATCATTCACTCAGAATCACAGACTATGTATGAATTGTGATACGTGAATGTCATGCATTAAATCTCATACTATTGGACAGTATGCGTCGTTTTTCCGAGTAGACACAGCTGGTAAAGTTGATCCCAAACATACAAATTCATCGCCCAGTGTATTTAGACTATTTTGATCTGATTAGAAAAATCTGAAAATTATCTGTAAAAATATACTAATTTTTTCAAGTTTTTTTTTCGTGGGGATTTGATTTATTTCAAGTTTGATTATGGACTGATATCAACCAGAGAACTATTGAAAACCAGGGAGTACTGGACAGCTGTTTCTTCCTGGTTTGGGACTCATCGACAGTTCACACCCACGGGGTATTAAATCTAGCATCATCCGGTACTGCTGATGACTGACAAACTCTGGCGTAGACGAGATGTTCGACTATCGACCAAAGGGCGGGTGTACTGCTCATCAGTCCGCTCCGTCCTCCTTTTTGGCTGGCTGTGAGACCTGGCCACTGAGAGTGGAAGACATGAAAAGGTTAGTTGTCTTCGATCATAGATGCCTGCGCTCTATTTCCCGTGTAAAGTGGCATAATAAGGTGAGCAACATTGAGGTTAGGCGTCGGTCGAGTTCTAGGTAAACAGGGGAAATCAATCGACGAAGTCGTGAAGTTACAAAGACTGAGATGGTTAGGACATGTGTTACGTATGCCAAGCCATCGCCTCCCTCGACGAGCTATGTTAGCGGATATAGGGTCAGGCTGGAAAAAAGCTAGCGGCGGTCAAACAAAAACTTGGATTCACCAGTCAATGAAATCCACAACAGTTGGTCTAAGCCACGTAGGAAGGTGTAGACTTCCAGGCTGGGGTCCTCGGGACGGTAAAAACAAATGGTTGGAAACAATTGGTGACACGGCTCAAAATCGTTCTCAGTGGCTAGCGCAGATGCATCCACTCCTTGTGACTTATGATCTCCAATGAAACTGTTTGGTTCTTCGTTACTACTATTCCTTTGTCTCACACCTCTGCTCACTGTTTCTACTATGCTTTTCTTGTACTTTCTTCTCTTGCTTCGCGTGCTACACGGAATGTGGCGACTTGAACTGATGCACATTTGTGCAAAGTTCTATGTCGAAAACAGACAGACAGAGACAGACAAACTAGGGTGAGACAGCTGTCTAGTATTCCCTGTTGGCTTTCAATGGTTCTCTAACTGATATCGATCCGTGATCAAACCTGAAACAAACCAAATCCTTGCAAACAAAGCCATGAAAATTAATCTGATGCTCGCTAGTGACTGACTAACTGACTGACTGGCTACAGGACGAAATTGGCTGGAGTACTAGTCAGAATTTGTGACCATTGGAGTCCACTCGGTCGGAAGTGTGGATAAATACTCGTCACAAATGACACTGACTGGTGTCAGTAGCGGTAAAATCACGAATTGGTGGAAATTTTTTATTATTCCCATGGGTTCCAAGTGGAACATCGCTATTTCACCCTCTTTTAGTTGATTGTACGATTCCCAGTAAACTCTAACTACCTCACCACACAACCTCTTTCATGCGACCCTCTGAACTACACCCTACGTTCGGCTCCCACTGGAGGGCTGAATTTGGCTCATGTTGTCACTCAGAGATCACGTCAAAGTGTGTCCAAATACATCTCCATTTCCTCCTACATATTTGTTGGGCGAGATAGATTGTTGGTCAGTTTATCACTTTGCCAGAATTTCTCGTTGTTCATCCTTTCCAGTGGGCCATATAATTCTCAGTATATAGAGAGAGAAGCCAGCTGCTGATGAAAGTCTGCAGTAACCTGTTGGGAACACTTTCAGTGATGCATGGACTAACTCTCTGGACCCTATAGAAGCACTAACTGATTTGACATTAATGTTGAAAGTCCGAGTCTTGTTCTATGATGCTGAGTGCAGTATATTCCTACCCTTAATTCAGATTAATAAAGCTCGGCCTTGCTTTTCCTATCCCGTTTGAGACTTTTACATTATCATCTATGCCTCCGCTTGTATTTCAAATGCTGCTGTCTGCGTTAAGTAAGCGAATGAGGTCACATCTTTTAGAATCCTTCTGTTGAGTGTGATTTGTGTTTATTGTTACTGGCTAGTGCATCGGTGGTTAAGAGGTAGGAAATTCGCCAACCAAGCCACAAGTGGTCCGGAGTTCAATTCCCGGCTGACGCGCTTCTAAACCTCGCTAAGCCGGTGGTAAGGTCAGTGAAGAGATAGAAGGTTGGACGTGAGGCTAGTCAGCCAACCAACCCCAGAAAAATTAGAAAATCATTACTATCGAAACTTCAAAGCTCTAGCTTGAAACCCTATATTCCATTTGGGACGTAAAGGAATAAAATAATTAATCCTATTGGTTAAGCATCTTCAAACGAAATCATGAAGTTTTCAAGTATTGGTTTGTAGGGATTTGATTGATTTGTTACAGGATTTCACCATGAGCTGACATTGGTTAGAGAACCATTGGAACACCATCTGGGAATACTAGACAGTTGTTTCGCCCAAGTGTCAGACTCTTCAGAAGCACACACCCACGGGGGTTCCAACCCACGACATTCTGGTTACAAAGCTAGCGAGTTTGTAGACCGTTAAGCCACTGAGACCCGATGCAGTGGCCAACCAGCCCCTGAATTCTAACTTCTGCCAATTCACGCACGACATAGCGCAATCACTAGACAATGTCTTCGGCGAGTATTTGTCCTCACACCCGACCTGCTGGACCTTACGATGCTCATTAGCAACTAGCTCTATTCATGTAGGTAGTTACCTGAGGTTCTAGTGGAATTCGTGACTAGTAAGACGCAGCAGGTCGAGTGTGAGGACAAATACTCGTCAGCGATGATATTGGCTAGCGGTCGCGCTATTTCGTGAACTGGGAGAAGTTAGAGATCGTAGGTTGGTCATTGGATTGTATCCCAGTGGCTTAATGGTCTACGAGCTCGCTAGCCTTGTAACCCGAAGGTCGTGGGTTCGAACCTCAGTAGGTGATGAAATAGCTGTCTGGCTGTACTTCCAGGTGGTTTTCCAATGGTTCTCTAACCGATCTCATGTCAGCTCATGATGAAATCCTGTAACCAAAGAAATCATCAATTGTTTCATAGCCTTAACCTCGCCTAGTTTTTCTTTCAAAGTTCAGCAGGAACAAGAGGGAAAGTTGGGCGGAGAGGGCTAGCGACTCCTCTACCTAGCGAAAATCAGCGCCTAATCACTCGCTATAGGAAAACATGTATAACAATAAACCCAATCTTCAGATAAGAATAGTAACAATGATAATGCATAACAAGAAATAAAAAGTTTTATCAACACCTACTTACTATAATTACATGACAAGCGTTTTTAAGAAAAAGTTACTAATTTGTCTGTACATTTTAACCAAACAAGACAAAAATAACTAACCAACCCAACTTACTCTTATATTAAATTCTGACGAGTGTTTTACACAATCCAACTGAAAAAAGAAAAGATATTTGAAAGAAAAATGAAATGAAATGCTTGATAGTTTAATTGAAATTGTCAACCTACATTCCAAAAAAGTTTACGAAATAATTCAGTACGTCTACTTTTTAGTAGGTAACCACTGATAATTACATCGCCAGCAGAAGAGGATAAAACCTTGATACTGTTATTTTTTTTTAAATCAAAAGAGAAGGCAATAAGAATATAAGTTGAATGCTTTCAATTTACTTAGAAACCATATTTCATTTAAAAGTATGTGTGGGTGTGTGTTCTTCGGTGAAACTAACAGTATCTACAATGTAAGACGGTAATTATCGGAAACAAACAACAATTTACTTTATTTTGTCAATACACCCCCCGATTAATTCAGATAGATATATAGATAGATATCCACAGTTTGTTTGCGTGACTACAATTCACAGTTTATACTAAACCAACAGATGATGATGATGAGAATAACAAAAGTGGATGGATGAACGACCTTTGTCTGAAAAATAAACAACACACAAGAATGAATTACCATTACAATTATTATTGAATGCTATGTGGTACACAAAAACTGAAGACAATAACAAAGTGTAATTTTGACTGTATTTTGATCATCATAGGTGCCTGCGTTTTATCTCCCTCCCGTGTGAAGTGGTCGATGTAATAGGGTGAGCAATATTGAGGTTGGACTTAGGTTGAGTGCTAGGTAGGCGGGAGGGGAAATCAATACTAGAGGTTTTGAAGCAACTGCATCGATTGAGATGGTTAAGACTATCGATCAAAGGGCGTGTGTACTGCCCAGCAGTCCGCTCCGTCCTCCTTTATGGCTGGCTGTGAGCAAGACCTGGCTATTGAGAGTGGAAGACATGAAAAGATTAGCTGTCTTTGATTATATGTGCCTGCGCTATATCTCCCATGTGAAGTGGTATAATAAGGTGACCAATATTGAAGTTGGCCGTCGAGTTCTAGGCAAGGAGGGGAAATCAATAGACGAGGTTGTGAACCTACATCGAATGAGATGGTTAGGACATGTGTTGCATATGCCTAGTCATCGCCTTCCTCGACGAGCAATGTTAGCGGATATAGGGTCAGACTGGAAAAGAGCTAGCGTAGGTCAAACCAAAACATGGACTCACCAGTCAATGAAATCTACAACAGTTAGTCTAAGCCACATAGGAAGGTGTAGACTTCCTGACTGGTTGGGGTCCTCGGGACGGTAAAATCCAATGGTTGGAAACAACTGGTGAGATGGCTCAAAGTGATCGTTCTCAATGGCCGGCGCAGATGCGTCCACTCCTTGTGACTTATGATTTCCAATGAAATTATATTCTTCTTCGTCATTACTATTCCTTTGTCCCACACCTCTGTTTACTGTCTCTAATATGCATTTCTTCTAGTTTTTTTCTCTTGCTTTGTGTGCTACAAGGAGGGAGTGTGGCGACTCGAACTGTCGCACATCGGTGCGAAGTCCCATGTCGAAGATAGACAGACAGACAGGATAAGTCTTACGCATGCCTAGGCTACCAATCGCCTTCCTCGATAATGGGCAATGTTAGCTGACTGACAAAGGATTGATCAAGTTAGAGTCAGCCAGTGGTGATCAAACCAAAACATGCCTTCATCAGTCAATGAAATCTATAACAGTTAGTTTAAGCCAGCCAGTCACGTAGGAAGGTGAAGACTGGCTGTCTGGTTAGGGTCCTCGGAACAGTAAAAACCAATGGCCGGAGACAGTTGAGGATATAGCTCAAAATCCTCATTCTCAATGGTTGGCGCAGATCCATTCGCTTCTTGTGACTTATAATGCCCAATCAAACTACATTGTTCTTCGATATTACTATCATCCTTTTTGCCTCACATCTCTATTTATTATCTGTTTCGAATGTCTCTTTACTTTCCTCTCTTGCTTTGTGTGCTGAGTGAAATGTGGTGACTAGAACTGCTGCACATCGGTGCAAAGTTCCACGTTAAAACCGACCAGTCAGTCAGCAATGTTTACTAAGGCTTATTAGAGTTAACTAGTGTAGGCAATATGACATCATTCATATACATATGAGATAAATACATTGGATAAGATTGACTGAAAGGAGCTAGGACATGTGTTGTACATACCAAGCCACCGCCTTCCTGGGACAACCACTTCAGCTGACGTTTAATTAAGTTGGGAAAGAGTTAGAGCTGGTCAAATTAAAATCCGGCATGAAGTCATGAAGTACATGGCAGTTGGTTTGAGACAACCAGCCACATAGGGAGGTGTAGACTGCCTAGTTGAGGACCTCGGGTGCTCAAAATCAATGGCTTACGATTGTCGGTAATATGGTTCAAAATCGTTCTCAATGTTTCAGATGCATATCCATTAAGCTCTCATTCTTTTTTTCATGTAACTATTGTTTCCTCCCATACATTTCCGCTCATAACAGTACCTTGGAAACTCTTTTCTCTATCCTTGTGTAGTGCATGGAGTGTGGCGACTTGAACTCCTACGCTTCTGTGCGAAGTTCTACGTTGCAGTTTAGATACTCAGTCAGATATTGAATAATAAAGTCTGTGACACAACCTTTTTAGCCGAATTCCACTTGTAAGTATCACTATTACCTTCAACTACTCCCCTTATTTCAGCATTCTATGAAACAGAAGCCTGAAGTTTAAGAAGCGTCATGATGGTTAGAAGAAGACATGAAATGATTTCAGTGTTCCTAATGTGTGCAGTGTCGTAAAATGCACTCATCTTCAATGAAATCTACAAGAGAGTGCACAATTCTGTTACCTTGCCTGCAGATATACTGGTTTATAAATTCCACTTACAAGACCCAATTCGTTTTTACAGAGGCTAAATCAAGTATATGCTGAAACTTAGAGTGACAGACTGACTGGAATTTCGGCGCAGGGCTTTCCACGGAAGTGCAGCACTTCAAGTTACCGGACTTCATATAGCATACGCAGGTTAGAAAATAAAATTCAAGCGGAACTATAGTGAACGGAAATGTACGGAAGAATAATTACACAGAGAAATCATGAAAATTTAATGAATCTGAGAGACTATACACAGTGAATGCACCTGCACCCCTGAGAACGATTTCCAACCGTATCACCAACAGTCTCAAGCCATTGGTTCTCAGTGTCTCCAGGATCCCATATGAGTAGTCTAAACCTCCCAATGTGGCTCAAATTAACAGTCAGAAGAACCATAGATTGATGACAAGCCTCAATCCATATGTCAGCTAATATTTCCTGACGAGGAAGGCGATAAATTGGCATGTGGCTTAACAACCTCATCAGTTGACTGACTTAAAAACCCAACACTTAACCTCCACCTAACATGGCGAATGGAACACAAATATGTATGGTCAGAGGTAACTGACTTCTTTATGTCTTCCACTTCCAACAGTCAAGTCTTACAAACACAAAGAAAAACAACGACCTGTAGCGCAGGACACACAAACGTAGAGGAAATCGGAGTTCAAAATTTAAAAAACTATAATGAGCTTAAATCTATGGAGAAACCATAGTAACGTCGAAAAATATGACCACTTAATAAATATGGGAGATCACAAGGATTGGCTGGATCCACACCATTGAGGATAATTTCAAGCAATATCACCAACAGTCTCAAGCTATTGGTTCCTAGCATCCTGAGGACTGTAACCTAGCAATCTACACCTCCTTGAGTGGCTGGCTCATACAAAATATCAAAGACGTTATGGATCAATGTTAGGTTCTGGTTTAAGCACCCAAAACTCTACTCCAAGCCTATGTCAGCGTTCAATGAGAACAGTAGGCAGTTAGGGATAACATAAAATCAAGATGAAAGCCATGATGAAAACTCATCATTGTCAGAAATTTCTAAACATATCATTACTGGAACAAAAACTTTGATAGACAGATCAAAGATAGCCCATTTAGAACTTTCTACAAAGGCATAACGTTTCAAACAATCATGGAAGTATTTGACAGAAGAAGAAATACTACAAACAGTACTTCCAACAGTGGATTATGATAAGATATTACTTTTTAGATGAATGCAGGAAAAGAAAGGAATCAGTTTGTGAAACACCATCTGGAGTGAAAAGTGTGAGTCAAACTACCATCGTTGCGATCTACTAATTCAACAAAATTTTAGACAACGCTCAATAGATAAACCTGAGAAGCTGCTTTTATCCCCTATTTTTCTGAAGTTAAAAGGATAAAAGTCAATCTGAACGAAGAATATTCTTTTCAATAAGCTCTCTTCAGGTTCTTACAATTATAAAATATTATAATATTTGTTGCCGTTACAATAATGGTAGCCAGTTAGTTATGCAGTAGATACATTTTTTAACATAGAATAACAGACTACTAATTATGGGGTCTCAAAATAAATAGTCCTATTTGTGTGACAATCGTGCCAGTTGGCTGAAATCGATTACAAAATATTTCGGTGAAATTCGAGACAATGGTGGTGATTAGTCATGATAAATTCGTAGAATGTGGGGTAGGAAAAAGTTATGAGGTGTCAGGTGAGTGAGTGACTAGTACAAAATGGTATGTATTAAAGAGGCGGAGATAGTAAGACTGAAACGAGATGTTCATCATAAAATAACGAATGTGTGAAATGAAACAGGTGGAGGCCTCATATTGAGAGAAAAGAGATAATATCACTAATGATAAGTGCGGATACTATAAATGGAAAATTCAATAGTATTGAGGGAATGTTTGCATGAAGGGGATAGCTTTTAACGAATAATAATAATTATAATAATAAGCAAAGAAGGCAAAAAAGAAAAAAAACAAGTGGGTTAAGAGAAAGAAACACTCTTAGTGGCCAAACTTGGATTGATGATTCTTCTTCTCACCAAATATAATTGTAAGAACCTGAAGAGATCTTATTGAAAAGAATATTCTTCGTTCAGATCGACTTTTAATTCATAATATGGGAATATTTCACACTATTAAATCTCAAATGGATAAACCGTGTTTTATTGTTCTAGAACAGTATTTTTCAGCTATCTTGATAAGCTTAACTTCGATATACGACGCTAAACGACAAAAACTTCGGAATTGAACAAGTAGGAGGTATCACCAAGTAAAGTGAAGGCAGCGTGCTTCACTTTCTTACGAATTCCAATAGTAGAAGAGGTGAGAAAACTCCTGTATGACAACCACCTTGCACTATATATGTGATTATCCCCAGCCACCGAGTGGAATGATTTCTTTGGTTCCATTCAAGGAATTGTAGTGCATACACAGAAGCTAACAATACACAATATCGGCTGGTCACCGTCTCTTTCTTTCAAACCACTCACAGGGATAACGAATCGTAACTACTTTGGAAGAAGCCACTACGAGATTTGTACTTCCATGTCACAGTAACCAGTTTGATAGATTGTCTTCACTTAGGCCGAATATTCAATACTGGGCCTCTAAATTATATGGTATCACCAACTGATTCACGCAAGTTTAAAGAGACGGTATAGATTAAGGCGAATTCCTCCCCCCCCCCTCCTCCCCAAACTATCCCTA